AGCGGCAGCGCGGAGCCGAGCTGGTCTCTGGCGCCGAGCATAAGCTGGCTAGAAGGCAGCCCAGTGCTCGGGGCGTTGGCTGAGGCGGGGGAGTTGTGGCCTGTTAACTGTGCCATGCAAAGGGGGATTTCAAGGATAGATGGAAGTAGTGGGGAGTCTGGGGTGCCATCATATAAAAAACTGAGTTAGTACGTGTTTTCAAGGCAGCAGTATCTGCGACTGCTGCAGTGATTAGCTTGGTATCTGTTGCTGTGCGATTCTGATTTGCTCTATTTAACATATAAATAAATGTTTGCAAATGAAGGCAAAGTGTCACTGTTTTACTTTTTCTTGGGGGTCTGAACTTTAGAAATACTCCGTGTCCAACAGCCATGTTTTTTTGGGAAAAAAATACTTCTTTTGTTACAACTTTTATATGTACAGGGATTTTTTTTTTCCCCCTTAAGGTATTAATATTTCTTGTTCCTGCCATGTTGATGGTGACTTTTCAGGGTGACAATTTCAGCTATTGATCACTTGGCATTTTGAATATTTTAAGTAATATGACTTTCTTTAGTCTAAATACGTGTAGGAAATTGTTCAATATGCAGGTAGAGGAACCCTGAAAATAGGCTTCTCAGAGGGAGGTTTCCCTTAAGTCACCTCCCTTGGCAGAAGATACTACGATTTATCTACAGAAATTTCAAGTGCACTTCAAAGGAAATGAAATCCCTGATACATGTTCTCCAGATAACCCTCTACGCTGATTTTCATATTTCCACCAAATCGGATATTACAATGGGAGAGAAGAGTCAGCAGAGGTCAGGGAAGAAGCTGCTCCTTGTGCTCATGGGGATCACTAACTTTAAAGTCCAATCTGGTTTTAGGCATGAGTTTGAAACAGAAGCAGGCGCTGGTCAGGTGAATCCGTTTCTGTCTTCAACATGAGTGACCGAGATCATGTACCCGAATGCCGTAACAATTGGCTACCATAATTATGAAAAATGCAATGAAGTTCCTGTCCAAAAAAACTGATTAACTGGAAGCCAGTTGTTTTTGCTGGCACACTGGTAGCTGTTAATCGGGTTTCGTGAGGCTGTCGGAGTGGGAACTAGGGATGTGATCATCTGAACAGGAGGAGGTCGTGCAGGTGTTTATCTGCAGCAGACATCAAGGAGGTACTGCCATGGCACAAGTTTCCCAGGTCATCTGCAATGGGACCTAGAGCTACCTACCACATGGTAGGATAAAAAAACAGGATTAAAACGGATGCCTGTCAGTGGGCAGAAGCAGCTGGAACACAGCTCAGTGATGTATGTCTAAATGAAGGTATATATTGATATTTGAGATGCATGCTCAGACTCCTTGGTATTGCTGGGTCTTAGACTGCTGCTGGGTGTTCAGCGGCTGTAGCCATTCTTTTATATGCAGCTGTCTTGACTGTTGTCTTTTACCATTGGGTCCAGAGTTTCCAGTGGTCTAAAGTACCCAAGACTAAAGCTCTGTGACGGAGGTGATTGCCTGTAAGATTTTGCGTGGAAGTTAGTTTGTTGGTTTTAACTTTTACAGTTGTTTTTTTGATATCTGATTACCTGAAAGGCTGCTTCTATCCACATGTGGTAGTGCTACACTTAAGAGCAATAGAGATGCCCAAACTAGAGTCCTCCTGTTTTTGTAGAAAGGAGGCTGTTGATAAGTTTTTGTGAAGGTTGGTCTCTGAAACCTTTTTAATCTGAAAGACATCTTGGAATATGTTTAATGTTTAGGACACATCAGAGTTTCTCTATGTACTACTGATTTGGATATCATCGTGTGGTTTTGATAAGACTCTGATGTGAGGCAGAAAAGTTGGAGTTAGTGACAACAGAAAGTTGGTCAGTGGGTCAATCCTTACAAAGCCTTGTACAGCAACTCTCAGATTTTTCCTAACTGAATAATACATGTTTTCACATCGCATGATGTGACTCGACATAAAACGATGGGAGAAAAACAAATATAAACAATCCAGATCGCTCTTGATTTTTGGCAAGATGTACCTTATTTTCCTCAGTGAATCTTAAGAGGCTGTATCATTCTGTCTACTCACAGACTTGCTTTCAGACAGGAAGTTGCTAATGCACAATAATAGAAAGTGTGGGGTTTTAAGAGCATTAGACCACATTTTTCAGTGCAGTAACTTCTTATGTCTTTGAATTTAATTGAATTTCACCATCAAAGCTAACAAGCACTGTCCCAAATGCGTGCTCCACACAGGGCAGAGAGTAAGATCAGGAAGATAATGTCCTCGCATGAAGCCAATTGATTGCTTCTGAAAATGCTACCGAGTACACCAGAAAATAAAATTACACGACACTGAGGGGTTCCAGCTTCTTAGACTCAGCTGGAGGAAGATAATACAGGAAAGTGGTAGAAGGGGGTAGACAAGCAGGATAGGGAGAGAGAAGGGAGAGGAGATAGGTTTGCAGTGAACAAGCCAACTAAAAATTTGCAATGAATATTCATTTAAATTTGTTTCATTTTTAGGCAAAAGCAACAACTATCAAAGAAGCTCTAGCCAAATGGGTAAGTACTAGAACAGTATCTAGCTGCTTTGCAGTACTCCATGGCATGGGTTTTGACTCTATTCAGATAAATTTATTTGTCAAACTTATTGTAAGAAATACGTTTGCTTGAAACATCTGCTATAAGAAGTTTCACAAAGTAAAAATGTTGTTATTTATTATTATTATTGAAGTATAATACATTCTGTTGGACTTTGTGTTCTTGTTAAATTGGTACGGCTGGTAAAGGTAAGTCTTATTTGCTCTCCTGCCTTGTTCTGCTGAATATGTGTTGATAAAAGGCCTGAGGCTACAAAGAGATTTAAAGTTGGGGATGTCTTATGTTCTAATGATGCTCTGTTCATTTTACCTAAGTGTAGTCCTTCCCACAGAATAAACAAGTATGAAATTCTCACTGTACTGAAGTCTGCGAAACTTCTACTATTGTCTTTTAACACACGGGCCCTCATATTGTGCAAAGCTTAACTCAGAGTGAGTTTCTTGCTTGTTTTTCTTCTTGAAGTACTGTGTTAATACAGACAGTCACTTGGGGCGGTGACTGACCTGGTCTTGGAGCCTTCTAGAAAGCTGTTTGTTGGCAAGGACGCAGATGTAATTTCAAATGATGATATAGGATGCTCTGGGGTCAGGTTCACAGTCCAGTAAAACCAGTGAGAACCTTTCCCCAGTCTCAGTGAATTTTAGATTAGGACCCAGATGTGCTGTTGGGTATACGTGCGCTCTCCTGCTAATTCTGGCCAGCTGCTAGAGCAAGAGTTTATAAATGTTTTGGTCTCTAGAAGATCGGGATGTGAGGCAGTGTGGGCAGGTACAGTTGAAAGCCAGAAGATCTGTACCATCAGCTTGAGGTACTCGTCTGTGACTGAAGACTACTTCCTTTTTGAATTTTATCATTGTTTAGTACCTTCAGTATTTCAGGGTTTTTTCAGTTATGTTGGTATATCCCACAAACTTCACTCCTGCTCTCCTAATAAGAACTAGAATGCAACAACTTGCAGACATTAGCATTACTGGAGGTGTGAACTGAGTATTAAAAAATTTTGCTTTTCCTCCCTCACTCTTTCTGCTCTCCAAAACCACAGCTCCATGTTTCCTATTAAAGATTTATTTTCCATTTGCTCCTATGTCACACGTCTCTTAGAGATAATAGACCTGTGTCAGTGAGTTTCCATAAATGTTAGGCATGAAGTGCTGAATTTGCTTTTCTGTTCATGTTATTGGGGGTGGGTCTAAATCTTCCTTTTACCACTCTTAATCTGGGTCCATGTGACTTGTAAAATGGGACCTGGTGGTGTGTTGCATTCCGGATGTTTTTCTTCCCTCTGACATAAGGGTTTACCTATGCCCTACAGTCAGGGTGACATTAGTTAAATCAAAGCAAGTTTAACTTAGCAAACACGTAACCTGTTCTTAAAAAAGTGTCTGTTCTACCTGTGGTCTCTCTGGGGCTTATTGTAGTTGTTCAGCTGACCTTTCTTCCAGAAGTGCACGGCAACCAGGATTAATTTTCTTCCTGCAAGTGCTCACTGCTGGCCACAGTCTGTGTTGGAAGCTCTCTCCCTTTCATGTTTTTAAGAAAAAAAGTATTTTTATTTGTTGGTATAAACTGGTCGATTATAAACCAAGTATAAATGCAAATAGATACAGTGCTGTTCTTAGAAAAGAAAATGGAAGTTTCACATTTATATAGTGACTTAGTTTGAACACATTCACCGTATTCTAGCAAAACATCTGACATGCTTATTTGCTAAATCGCTAATCATGAGTGAAAATACTATCACACTGAATTTGGACAGAAACTGCAATACAAGTAAATGCACGAGGCAACATGCTATTTTTTATGAAATGAAGTTGCCTGAAGTATTTTGGGTACATAAGAGAGAAAATAATGTTATCAAAACCTGATCTTGTGCTGTGGGATTCTTAAAGACTTCTGGGATGCAATTCATTTCATTGAAAAGTAGCCATATAAACCAGGCCAGACCTCAGCTATCTCACTTTTCAGCAGCTGCGTAAAAATGGGGGAGAAAACAAGAGCTCTTGTTTTGAAAGCGCCGAGTAGATTTCTCCTTTGTTAATGGACCTCCAGTCCTCCCACTGCAGCTGAGTGAATTGACAAAATGCTCCCTTTGTGATGTCAGGGAGGCAGCTGTCAAAACTGGTGGTACTACCTAAATAGATACTTGTTCCAAGTGTTTAGTCAATAATTGCCATCACTTCAGAGTTTTAAAAGATTTAATAGACTACATTTTTTAATAAACCCAAATGCTGAAGTTATGACCATTTTTCTAAAGCTCTGAGCTTTATAAAGTATTTAATCTAGAAAATTATCAACCTAGATTGTAAATAGGAAATTTGTGTTTTGCTGTATTCTCTAAAGTGTGAAATCTTCCCCCGCTCTTTCTTAACAGATAATTAGAATTTTTTAATTTTTTTTTAGATTCTTATCTCTGTGAATCTGTTGAGGTTCTCCCCCAAAACGCACTCCCCCGTGTTCAGTTTGTGTTGTGAGTTAGGTGTGAGGTCCGAGTTTTCTGGGTGAAGTGGGAAGAGGATTTTTCTGTCGGAGCTTTTAAGAATCGGCGTCTGCTACAGACTGGCCCTAGTTGACACTCCTATATGTCAGTCCTCATGGAAGTACCTTCATTCCGAATTTTAAACCTCCATCTATTCTCCATTTCTTTACAGCAGAGGACCCCTTAGTTAAATTGCTCAAGTGTAACACAGCTTTTAAAAAAAGCATATGTAATGTGTAAGTTCTTTTAATATCTTGAAAATAAGCTAGCGTGTCCCTCTTTATGCTATACCAGCAGAAATCTTGATAAACCGTATTAAAAATGCGTTCGTTTTCCAGTAATACCTTTTAGTAGTATATTGGAATTACTTCTATGGTAATTACTTTTATAGTAATTTTTTAGTATAGTAATTTTTAGTAACTGCATGTAGCAGTGAGCGTCTTCTTCACCTTCTTTTTTCTTTAGGAAGAAAAAAATGGCCAGAAGGCTTCAGAGGCAAAGGAGGTGAAACTGTACGGTCAGATTCCTCCTGTAGAGAGGATGGATGAATCTCTCTCCACGCTTGTTAACTGCGAGTAAGTTCAGTTAAAAACAAGTTGGAAACCAGACGTTCTCTTCAATTTTTATTAATTTTCAGTTTTTCTGCTGTCCACTGTGCAAATATGTATTTACTATGTTTAAGTGTGGCCTTCAAAGCAGCAGCTTTCTCTTCTTCTCAGCTAAGCTTCTCTTTCCGCACACAGTTCCACTTTTTAATTAGAAGAACCGTCACGTAACTGAGAAGATGGTAGGGAAGATTCTATATTGATATTTGCCCCCGGAAAATTGGTATATTGTTTATCGGTATATAAATACAGGTCCACGTTTGGAGTCTATGAGCTAACTGGCACGTTTATGATCCATTCCAAAATTTTTGCAAAAACAAAGGAGACCTAACCAGGACTTTCAGAAGGAAATTAGAGCCATTTCAGAAATAAATGTCCATGCATTTGTTAAGGCTAGGCATAAAAAGATAATCCAATATGTCATGTAAGTAACTCGTGGTAATTTCCCAGAAGCTAAATAAAGTTGCAGAAGTCTTGATGGTTTGAGGATATTTTGAGTCTGTTTAGACATCCAGTTAGTTTACCATCTGATGAGAGAAGAATAGACAATTATTTCTAATGCAGTGGTGTTTGGACGTTGAACTCTTCTGATATAGTGATCCCTTGTATACTGTGAATTGATTATTCTTGCTTTTCAAGGAAACTATCGCTGTCTACAAACTGCATTGAAAGAATCGCCAACTTGAACAGCCTAAGTAAGTGACAAGCCAGTGATCGATTATGTTTGTTTTCTAGTTGCTTGGATAGGACATACACCATAATTTGTTATATGCATCCAGCTTTATACCTGTTCTTATCCTTTTTAATTCCTTCCTCTTAGAAAACTACAAGTGACCTTTAAAATTATCAGTCTTACTGGAGAATGCGTGTTTAGCAATAATGGTGTATTAAAGCACATATCCCTATGCACTAGCCTTGGCAGTTGTCTTGCTGTGCAAGTTTAAAAAAAATCCATTCAGGAAAGCACCTTTGTATTCAAAACCTAATCAGTTCTAGAGTGATTTAATGACCAATTTCCACACTCGTCATGGAGACAAGTCTGCAGTTCAACAACTGTAATTGTGGTATTGGTTGGAGTGAGGTTGGAGTGTTGTAGATCTGGATGGAAAAACACCATTCCGCTTTGCAGAGGATTTGGATATACTTGGTTTGATTTCGTTCTTACTTGAAAGGGGCGTGCCATCTGTCTAGAAGTGGAACTGAACTTTTATTTCGTGGGCAGCTGTCTATGACACCTTGAAACCCATTAGCTTACTGACTTTAGGACAGCAGTCTTAATCGTCTGCCCTCAAGACTTTGACTCTGTGGCATGAGGCTGGCAAAGAGCTGCAGGTTTGGGGCTGGGGCTTCCAGGCTTTTCTGTCCCCATCAAATTGCCAGACCAGACAGACAAGGAACCTGGAATCCCATCCTCTCCAACTACACACCAATAGGGTTGTCAAGGAGCTTGATGAACTTACTTGTTTCATAATATGCTCAGACTTCAACAAATTTGCAAATGGTAATCAGGGAAAAAGTATTCCTGTAGTCTTTCCAAATAACTGTACTGTAGTATTTCAATTTGAGTAACTCTATCATGAGCAAAAAATAATGAGGCAGTTATATATAAAAGTGAAACCAATGAATTTTTTTAGAGGGATAAAACATTAAAAGCCTTTAAAGCATCTTAAATATTTATATTAATAAAATGTAGAATCAAAACATCCAGTCTGTACCAAATATTTGATCCCAAAGGCAGACAAACTAGAACTACGTGCTCTGTCTCTTAAAAGTACAGAATATGAGGAACTCAGCATCTCTATTGGCTTCTGTGAAAGAGAGAGAAAGCAGTGCTTATAGCTATGAAAAACAATAATTATTACATATTTGCTTTTGTTTATTGCAGAGAGGAAGCTGAGAAATCTTTTTAAGCATCTACACTCTTTTCAGACAGAAAAGATTAGTATTAAATGTATATACCTGATATTGTAGTTATCTTGAGTAGATAATTCTGTGTAAAGGATCACACCCCTGTATCCATACATGTGAGTAAGATGTTTTAGATGACAGCAACAAGTGTTAGTTTTGGTTTTAGAGAGTGTAAATGTTCCATGAGGGAGATCTTTCTCCCTTTAAAATATAGAATATCTCAGAATAAGAATAATAAAAAACAGTAACAGCAGTTAGAAACAATTTTAAGGCACGGCTTTTTAAGCAATCCGTCATTTTTTTTATTTGTAAGTATCCTCTCATTTCTTACAAATTTCAAAAGCTAGTGCAAACTTATAATGTATAAATGTGAGTTACAGAGAGAATAGCTGGCTAGGCCAAAAGGCCATCTCCCAGCGCTCTCCCCTGTGGATGGGGATTCTTAGGGATATTCTGGAGAATATTAGCAGTAGTAGGCTTTAGACTTACTGATTGTGATTCTACGTTTTTTGGGCATGGTCATGTATTAAGCTGTTGTGTTTAAAAAGAAAAAGCATTCTCATTGTACCTCAACTTTTTAATGAAAACTAATCTTCCTGTTTTAGATATTTGCCAGGTGTGGTTTTATCAGGTGTGGTTTCATCCCTGCATTTCTTGAGACAGAACATAAAACTATCTATTCTAGATCAGCTTTGAATCTTCATCTGTAGCAATCTCTAGCCGCTACATGTGCTGTCTGTGGAGCATCTGTTGCTACTTGGCTGGAACTTTCATTGGTCTTGCTATTAATTATTGTACCATGTATTTTCAATCATAATGCATACAAGAGCAAAACAAGATCATTAAGTATTTCATCCTTAATGCAGTTAAGAAGAAGTGTTAATACATTCATGAAAGGTATAGATCCAAAGTTATTCCAGCTACATGCTGCAACTCAGTTTGCTTATTTACACCTGCAAGAAAGCTTGTGTGAAAAATGAAAGTGAGTTATACAAAAAGACTGCTATTTTGTGATAGCTTTGAGTTACGCTAGTATTACACTAAACCCCAGCAAGAACAGCTCACTTGGAAAGGAATGTTGTCTGGCTGCTAGACCGAGTTGAAATGTCTTCCATCAGACTTCTGTAAGGCAGCTTTATATGCTGCCTTTATTATAGAAATCAAATCTGCTGCCTTAAAATAAGATTGGAACTACTTTTGCCTGGAGAAGAACTATATATGAACTATGTAAGATCAAAACTAGCAAGTTAGCAGTTAGAGTTCAGGTGCAAGGTGAAATAATAATTTTTATTGAGTATTTATCTGAACTGAATTTCAACTAGGTAACCTACACATGAGCAGCTTTGTGTTCATGAGCGTGTTTCTGAGCTGTCCACTGCATCCATTCCTGATGATCTGTGTCAGTCAGGAGGTTTTGTTTCTGTTACATCATTCTTTCTTAAGACAGCCTGTTCAGAATGCAGTTTGTTTGTAAGTAGAATATGGCGTTTTACCTGACTTACAGCATCTTCTTATATTTTAAAAAACCCCTTTTATTAACAATAAACTTTCTTTTGTCTATTACAGAAAATTTGAGGATTCTGTCTTTGGGAAGAAATAACATAAAGAACTTGAATGGATTGGTATGCGCTTCTTAGTATCAATTCTTCGCTAACAAAATGAAGTGCTGTCTAGAATGTGGGATAATTCCCCTATGTTCATAAAAGTCTTTGCTGAACTTACGTTATTGCCTAACTATTTATTTTCTCCTTCCAGTATGATCTGTTCACATTGCTTCTGAATTTTTAGATAGTCTTTTTTTTTTTTTTTGTTTAAACATTCTTCATGTTTGGAGACTCTTCAGGGCTAATTTGCTACATAAAAGGATTTTAGAAAGAGGGATTTCATTGTCTTTGACAAAGATGAGCAGAACTTCTATTTGAAAACTGCTGTCTGTCTGTAAAGCCCTTTGAATTCCACTGGCTTTACATGAAAATAATTCCTGCAGGCTTTTTGCATGAGGAATTTTCTACCTGAAGATACTTAGGCTATGCTTCTTTACTACAAATATTGGCAGTCCTATGAACACACACTTCATGAGAGTCTGTCCTTTTTATGTTAACTGGCACCCGCAGCAATATGGCTTTAGGGGAGAAGATGGTGGCAGGACTAAATCTACCAGGTAGGGGAAAATTCGTTGAGGAAAACATTGGATCAATTTTGTTACATTTGAATTAAGGGCAGAAGAACTTCTTTTCAATCAACTTCTTTTAATGAATATAGAAATTCTTTTCTTCCTCAAGAGATACTGTATGTTTCTCCCACAGAATGTTTCTCTTCAAAGCTATTCCCACCTTCAGAGATGCCGTATCTCTTAAGTGTGAAATGCAGAGTTATGTGTAATGGCTGGTTTAAAAAAACCTCTCTTCTGAGAGAATTATGAAAGGAACTTCTGGCCAACAGGTACAAACATACATGCACCTGAAATGAGTCATTCCCTCATATTGTATAAACCCCCCTCTAACGTAGTTGTTGAATTGCGTTCACTTCATGTATACTTGCAGAGCACAAGCAGCCGAATTTGTCTCCTCCGCCCCTATGCCTTAAGAACAACTACTCCAGCCAACTATTCCTTGTCTTATTCTAATATTGTGATTTGTGTCCTCCTAAGTATATTTCAGATCCTTTGCTCTTAATTCCCACGAGTATTTGTCATGCATAATTAGGGACCTGCTTAAAAGGAAATGAGGACCAATATACCTTAGTATTTTCTCACAAGGTGACCTGTAGGGGATGAAGAGAGAATCTGAAGATAAGGAAGACATAATTCTGCTTACCTGAGTAGTCCTGTCATTTTCCAGGAGGCAGTTGCAGACACTTTAGAGGAGCTGTGGATCTCATACAACTTCATTGAGAAACTGAGGGGTATCCGCGTAATGAAGAAGCTGAAGGTTCTTTATATGTCAAATAATTTGGTGAAAGACTGGGGTAAGCCACGCCTCTCTATTCTGTAACTTCTCCTGTAGTATGGTGAATGCATGAGTTAAGTCACCAAGTAAAAAATAGTTCTGTATGTTACAGGGCTTTAAGTCTCACTGATAAGCCTGCAGACATGTGCTGAATGCCTAAATACCCACTCATGCAAGAGAGTAAAAATAGTTAGAATATTGAATTTAACTTCTAAGTCCAAGGGAGTTTGTGCTTTGAATCATCTTTCTCGGACTTCTTTTAAAATGCGTATCTGTTCTTTAACCTGATACCAGTTCAAGCTCAAGCAGTCCCTATCCTGTTGCATCCCATGCTATTTATGTTTGCACTGAGTTTGAAAGGAAGGTTTGGTGCAGATGTACTTTCCATGTTCCACAACCTGGTTGGTGTTTTCACCTTTGTGGTTGCAGCAGAGTTTGTGAGACTGGCAGAGCTGCCATTACTAGAGGATCTGGTGTTTGTAGGCAATCCACTACAAGAAAAGTACGCCTCTGATCAGAAGAACAATTGGATTGAAGAAGCAACCAAACGGGTACCCAAGCTGAAAAAGCTGGATGGTGAGTTTGGGGCATGAGGCAATTGGTGTGAGTTAACAGCTTAATATAAAGGCAACCATAGGGAAATGAATCATAACCTCAGAAACTCTTCTGTGTGCCCATGTAAAATTCCTCCCTCCTCTCTTCGGAGTTATTCAGAAGTAGGCTAACTTCTGGCAGCTGAATTTTGCAGCCCTGGGTGCAGGATCTTCTGAAAGTGTTTGGATTTCGGAGTATTAAGTCCAGGTGGTCTTGCAGCCCACAGTTGGGCTTTACTCTTGAAGTTACCCAGTCAAATAGTTTTAGCACATAACTAATAGGGAACTGAAACATACTGGTTTGAAGTTCTTTTGTGGAGTTCACATGTTGACTTGTGTAACTATATAGTTAAGTGTTTAGCATTAAGTAAGTTAACAAGACTTTCATCTGCCATGTTGAATTACAGTTTTCCCAGCAAATTTGATTTACAGTTTTCCCCAACAAAAGAGGGTGACATGGGGGAATGGGGATAGACAGGAGTATGTTCTGTTTTGCTGCTGGTGCAGGGGCAAGTTTTCAAAACTTCATGCAAGTTTCCTAAATGCCTGAATATCCCTCTCTCGTCACTGCACTAAGCCTCAATTTTTAAGCTCTCCTCTCCTTTTTGTCAGTGATACGAAAATATATTAAAGCATGTCCTGATTAGTGACTAAAAGTGAGATAATTTTTAAATCTATTGTTAAAGATGTTAATTTCTGTTAATGGAGATGTTAGCTGTTCACTGTTATCTGCTCTTCACTAAAGCAATGAAGAGGAGAGCAGGACTGGTAACACTAATAAGGAGTCAGAGTAGCAGCAGGGAAGGTACGAGTGTAGGGATGGCGACAAGAGGACAGCATCAGTACAGGGAGCAACGGATGGGAAGTCAAAGCCGGATCAGCTGAAGTAGTAAGAATTCTTGGGAAGTGGAAGCCTGGTGAGAGAAGTGTACTGCTATGAAGGATGGCCTGCAATAGTCCATTTGCTGTTGTAGTAGAAAACATTTTGAGAGTGAAATAAAAAATGGAATAGGGCAAGTATCTGTACGGGCAAAGAGTAACCGTGTTAGTATAAGGTTAGACCCTTAGTTTCTTAAGCATTCCCGCAGCTGGGAGCAATGGACAGCTCTGAATTAGGCAGGTACGTTTCCTATGCAATGTAGAAAGAGGAGGATATTTGAGAATATCATCTAAATGATAGAATGTTGAGCAAAAGAGGTCAGAAATGCTGTAACTGGCCGTAAGTTCTTGCCATTACACTGTCCCAGGATCCTGTTATGCTTGTGTACTATATGTGAGATGACTAATATAGGGACCTTAAAATTATTGAAATGGTTGAAGATCTTCTGGACAAAAATAAGCACTGAAGGTCTCTTTCAGCAGGTAGGTGTCTCCTTTCTGTTAGTTCCTGTGCCAGGAACCCTGCTCAGCAGTTAGGTGCCTAAAGCACAACAGAAACCAGGCTCTGGTGGTTTTATTTTCCGTTTCCTACCTGTGAAAAAAGAAACGCAGCACCCCAACCTTACAGTAAGCAAAGGGCTCTCACCACAAAGTCTCACCATAGTTCAAGTCTCTGCCTCAGGCTGAGCAAAGCACCAGTATGACCCCGTTCCCATTACCCAGGTGACAGCGCAGGTGAATGAACATATACCTTCACGCTCCTGCTGTTCTTGTACTAGTCATTTAGGCATGTATTTGATTGTGCTATTTCAGCGTGCTGTGAGCTTACCCATACTATTGGGTTTTGCTAATGTGGGAAAAATTTATAACTTGATAAATCTTTTTTGGGGGCTGTTGACATTTCAGCTTATTTTAAATTCATGAACACACCACTGTGAGGTGGTGTGAACCCTGCAGACTGCCACAATCTGAGGTGCCCTTGCTCAACATGGCAGTTAAAAGTGATTTTTTTTTTTTAAAGTACCCAAGGGGTGGGTATAGACTATGACTCCTCTGTGCAATGCAGCTTTATTCCATGACATCCAAGTTATCCCTAAGAGATGTGACCATATTGCTTCTTGGATCTGCATTAATATAATTGTATTTTGTAGTCTGGACATCCTAGTTAGGTATCATTGAGGAGGTATCCTATACTAACTTGGTCACGTATGTCATGGAAATGGCAGCGCAAAGTAGAGGCCCAACAAGAGAAGGGTGATGTGCTAGTTGGTTGTTAGTTGAACTGACATGGTGCATCTCCCAGTGACCAAGTTAGGCTGAGCTTTGCAGGTCCTGCTTTGGTACCTTTTTTTATTCCCTGTTAACCCAAGAAGTTGGAAAAACATCCAACAGACGATCTCACCAGTTGAAGGCTTTTCTAGTTAAGAGCAGTTCAGGTATGTAGAAGGTCATGTCAGTTAGAAGCAGTGGCAGGAAATACAACTCTTTCCTCTTTCTGCTAGTCCGACTCTTTCTGCCAGTCCAGATGAGCTTTCCGGTATATCAGCATTAACTATATCTTTCTCTGCATAATCTATTTGTAAATCTTTGCAGATTTTTTTCTCTCTTTTTTTCTCTTAGGTATCCTAGTTATTAAACAAGAAGAAGATGAAGAAGGAGCAAACTGATGACACTTTCTTGTTGGGTATTTAATTATTTAAGTAACTCCAGATAGCTCGGCACATAGAACTTTTGTATAAATGTTTGTTTTGAAGAAAATCTTTGGGCAATTTTTAAAAGACCATCTTCTCTCCACAGTCTGTCACCCAAAGAGTTAGTTACCAAAATTTGGGCACACCAATTTTGTCAAGCTTATGACACCTTCTGTAGAGACCAGTGGAGCTGAGTTTATCTGCTGTTTGGCTAGCAAGAGATCCTTACCTAAACTAATACATAGCTATTTTTTAATCCCTGATTAGTGGTGCTTATTATTCACTCTTGGGTTATAATAGAACCATTTTAACTTGTTAGGTGCAGCTGGCCAACGTTATCATTGGAAACGCGGAGGCCAAAACAACAATGTTGTGGTTTAGAGACATGTTACAGGCTTTGTTGTGTTTAATTTTGTCATGGGAATCCCTCAATATTTTAAATATGCAAGTTTGCCTTTTCATCCCCTTAACTGTTACGCCAAACAGGCCCAGCAGTTGTGGACCTATGCACAAAAAAGGTATTGGTCTGATGATCGCTTGTTACTGGCCTTAAGTTTTGAATTGGGCTTCTTGCATTGGAACTCAACTGCGTTGCTTAGAAGGCCGTGTATAACATATATTTATTTATTTTAAAGAGGCAAGGGGAATTCTTTGCATGGTTTCAGTGAGACTAAAATATCTGCTAGCTCTTTTTTTGTCTCTTACTAAGAAATTATTTTCGATTGGAATATGTGGCCTGTTAGCCTACAGCTGGTTCCTAGTTTTGGTTTGGGTCACTGGTGGACATAATCCTTCTCAACTCTGGAATTTTCCTATAACTACGTAGGCTGATACTAATACAGAAACAAACAGTGAACAAAAGACCTGGGTTTGAGGGCAGAAAATTTTGGTTTTGGGGATACTTATTTTTTATGAAAGACAGATGTAAGCAGTGAGAGAAAGTGTATGTAGTTAGTGAGGAAGGTAAGATGAGATGGAAAGTGAGCATTGGAAGAAAAAAGTATCGAAGATGTACTAAACATGCTATATTGCAGGGTAACCGGTTTTAGTAAAGCCCCCTTGTATGACAGGTAGCTAGTGAAAAGCATTAAACAGTGATGAAGACATACCTGATTGCACTGCTGGATGCCAATAGTGGGTTTTTTTCTTCTTCTCTTCAGAGAATAGATCAAGTCACCTGAGTAGATTCTTCTGCAGCTTGTTTTTGGTTTTTTTCAAAAGCTTTTCTTCTAATTCATGGTACCATCTTTGTTTAAACTAAAATGGCAACAAGTGTACCTGCTGGTTCCAGACCAGGCATAGAAGGGATGGAGGCAGAATGCCACTCTTAATTATTTTGTTTGTGAAGGTGTGGCAGGAGTTGAAATCGTGGAAGTCATGGTCAGAGATAAAAAGGTAGAATTGGCCTAGACAACAGAGGTATTGATCTCAACTCAGTGCCAAAATCTGTGTGTTTGGAGACATTTTCAGAATAGACCATGCAGTGCTCTTGTCATAGCGCTTGGCCACACAGCAAAGCGTTTGAACCTCTGTAGCTGGTCCCTCCTAGCACAACGCCTACAAGTACGGCATGTATGGCTGAGTTGGCACCTCAAATGAAATGCGACAGGAGAGCGAGTGAGCGATGAGCGCACAGTCCAGTGACAAGTAATCCTGCTGGTTGATTTTTTTTTTAGTAGCTAAACATGGTCTAAGTCTGTACATTTCTGAAGGTTGTGTTCAATACAGCAAATACTCTACTTTGGCTATTTTGGGACATTCTGGGAGCAGAATAGAAACTTTAAGTGTTCTGACTATATGGTGATGATTGGAACAAAACACAGCTCCATTGACAAGATGTGAGGGATAAGAGCAGTTCCTGGCTCTTGTAAGTGACCAATACGGGCTATACATACGGGAATCAGTCCAAGAACTATTGCAGTTGTTGGTAGAGCTGTGTGTATTGTGTGGCCCACTGTCATCAGCGCTTTTCACAGATTAAGAGCACAAATTCTCTATCTCTTTTTTGGGTGCTGCATTATAAATACCACCAAAAAAGGAAAAAAATATCATTACTGAAGGAATGGGGCATCCAGTCTCAGCACAATTGTAACAGCAGCAAGGGGCACTTACAAGGTTTCCCTCGCCTCTCACCCTTCATGCTGTGATAAATTAGCATATAATTTAAAACCCTTCTGATAAAAACTGTATGTCAATCTCAATGACACAATACAGTAAGAAAAGAATAAACTGTGGCTCTCGGTTGTCAGGAGATGCTTCAGCTCAAAGCTGGGTGGAAGGTTCAGCTGAATGTTGCTTTGCCTGATCAATCATAATTACTCTCAAGAACAAATCAAACCCCCCCCTGAATTTTTTCTCCTCCAAAATAAGTAAAGTTTTCCTAAATTTTAAAATTTGCACTTTAAAATTATGCACTGGATGTGGTGGAAGACATACACAGGTGGAAGAATTAAAGCATCTGATTTGCATATTGATGGTGCTACACCATGTCATGTATAAGCTAACAGCGAAGCTCAGCCTGCACGCCCATAGGGAGCGGCTGAGGAAGCTGTTGAACGGCTTGTCTTTCTGTATTACTCTCTGCTCTTCCCTATCTCACCACATCCAATAAAGTAGTAAGCACATTATTATTCATGGATGAAAAGAGCACCCATGTAAAACTTGCAAGCCATGTGGAATTCTGCTTTTCCCAGTGAAATTATGGAGGATTAGCATCCACTTTATTCCTTAGAGAAATATCCTAAAATTAAATTAGTAATAGGAAAGAGCTAGGTTTTTTACTTGCTTGTTAGCACATTGACCTCTCTTCAAAGAGCTGATGTATGCAGTGATTATATTGAGAACTGCTGGAAAACTGTGAGAAGAGACCTGAGAACCAGCAGATTACTCAGGTTACACTAGAAGTAGACTCATCTAGAAAAATCTTCAAGCAAGAGAGCACTTTTAACATCCCCTTTGGCTATCTTTTGTATACAGTAGTTTTGTAGCATGACCAAACTGTTACATTTGCTGTGTTTAAATTATTTAGGCCTATGTTTATAAATGTTCTTCTGTGAAACTTGGTTAAAAATAATATAACATTATTTTATACAAACGTCTTTGGCTGTTGTGTAATGAAATAGTTCAGCTTGTGGAGAGCGTTCAGAAATTAAAATTTGTTCTCATTAAACTTTCCTAGCTGCTCAGGGAGCAATGTATTTATAGTATGTAAATCCTGTTCCTATTGCCTCTATATTTTAGAATAGAAAATAACTTACTTTAAAAATGCTGATATATTGTGATTTTTGTCATCTGATACATAAATTTTTCAATCTTTTAAGACATTGGCTGTCAGACTTTGTTCTTAGGTCCTAAGAGAAAAGTCTACTACTGCTATAGGGGGAAAAAATCCAAGCAAGTTAAATAAATGGCTAGTCTTTCATCAGTACCAAATTACGAATTCACTTTGAATTTAAGTGCTGTTAACAGCAATATACCATCAATTCCATTAAACCAGGACAAGAGAAGGTTAGCCGATTAATAAACTTCTGTAACAGGAACTTTACCCTTCAATAGACCGTGTCACTGAAATGTAATTTCAAAACTCAGATATAAAGAAAAAGCTTTTTACCCCACAGTCCGCAGCAGTCGATCTCAGTAATGACAAGAATAGCATCCTGCAATGATGGCTGTAATGCTAATTAAAAAACGTACAGGGAATTACTGCAGAATTCCTCACACTACCACTAACTCAAAGCTTACTAATCACTAAAATGCTTTATGAGGTCTCTTTCAGTAGTTGAAGTAACTTCCAGAAGCTTGGGCTTGGATCGACCGGTTAAAAAAGATGAGAACCAAAATGCCCAATACTTGTGACTTTTTTGATCCTGCAAAGTTTGTTTGCATGGCTTCACAGTTTTAGTACAACGTCGTCAGCCTTTGGCACTTTTGCCAGCTGGCTTTGACAGGGAGGCAAATGCAGCATTTAAAGCCTTAAACAAACTGGTGGTCTGCTATCGAGCTATCTGAAGCGAAGGCTTCTGTGTTCCCCGTCTCTTTTGCCCACCAAGCAAAATACCACTTACTTCTCCAAACGCTGTTGCTGATCAACAGCCGCATCCACAGGCATCAATTAAAGCGAGGGCTTCTACACGGAGCTGAAGAAAGAGCGTTTTAATGTCTTGGGCCGAGTCTTTTCTCCCACCAGCTTTGCCAAGGATATTGAAATGAAAATTTGCCAGCATAAATTAACTACTAAAAAGAAAACCAGTGTGCTGCCTTAGGTTCTAACTGAAATCTAGCAGGAGGCCAGACACTGATACACGTTTCTACCATCTGCTTTATGTAGTGAAACATTTGCAGTTTTTAAAGACTTCATACCCACAGGTGTGAGAAACAGTAGCCTAGTTAACTAAAAACAGTTACCTACCAAAACAGAAGGAACCTGGGTTTTGAAGACGGTAGCAGTGTATTCATATTTAAAATCCACAGCAAGAGATCCAGCTCCTGCCAGAGGAAACGAGATTAGTGCTGTGTAACAAAATATTTTTAAAAAAACCCCTTAGATTCAGGTAACAGACAAGTGCCTTTAAGACAGTATTTACTAAAACTTTTTTTAAACTCCACCATTGAAAAATATGATGCAATATGATTTAGAACTGGAGCTGTTGTTTCTACAACCAGCAGATTCAACTACTAAACAGCAGGAAAATGTTAACTTCTTCCAGCAGCTCTAGATTTTCCTCAGTCTCTACCTTCTGCCCCAGCCACAGCCATCCGGGAATTGAGATTTGATACAGGCCCCTCAGGCACCACGTTGCTCCGTGCTGCCTTTGCTCTGCCCACTGTCTTTGTAGTTGTTTCAGGTAGTGTCAGAACGCAGCTGGCCTTATTTACAGCACAGAAGCGGACCTAGAACTGTTCCCCGTGAATGTCTAACGCGCCATCAAGGTTGTTACTGGCATTGTGGGAAGGTGCTCGGCTTGGAGTGGGACACACACACAATCAACGCTTCCGTAAAGCAACTGGAGCTGCATCTGCCAGTTATTTTCTTGGCTAGAAGACATAAAACATGTCACAGGCTGGTGTCTTCGGGGAGAAGTTTACATTGAGAAACAGCCTCGAGAATTGCTATGGAGAACACAGAGGTGGGTATGACGAGAGAGCAGACTAGCTAGAAGGACTCGTAACCGCTTCCTTTGCGTGAATGCCTCACAGTCACTACCACCCCGAACCCCCCCAGCCGCTCCCTCATACCGTCAAAAAACTCAGCTATGAAACTATTTTTTAAACCTCATTTAATAAAAGGTTTTTTTAGATATATAGAGGATATTAAGTAAATAAGTTACATGGTACATTACAATCACATCAGCAAGATTTCCTTTAGTGTATTAATATTTTATAAAAAAGCACACAAAAAAATAAATTCAGTCCAGTCTATCACAACTGTACAGCAACAGGTAAATATATTTATATATGTACATTTTTAACATGTAACAGTCTTTTAAAAGGTGCCCTAGGCAGCAAACACACAAAAGGATGTGTCTGCTCACTTGTTAAAATAAAAGTTATATACTTTATTATAAAGCATTTATACAGTAATTACAAAGGCTGACTGCTCCTGTACAGTACAACAAAGCTTTGACTACAAATTTAAAAACAGAACATAAGAAGGAGGAACACAAAAAAGTTTATATCAAATCTGAACTACAAGGGGAAAAATACACGTGGAGAAGCTGCAGGAAACTGGTTTTTAAAATACACCATTACATTTCTATAAAAATATATGTTGTCTTCTAACCTGGCGAAGTTAAGGTTTTTTTCAGGCTCAGCTGTCAGCGGAATCCTAGTCTTGGAAAGAAAAGTCCTTAGACAGCTGGGGATTCAAAGTCTGTGTCTTCCTAACATTTGACGCAGGAGAGAACGAGAGCAAGTAAAGCAGCTGAACCCAAGTGACGAATTTACATAGAAACTCACCCCCCACAAAAATCAAACGTGATTTGCAGAGACCGCTTCTCCGTCTCTTTAAAGCTTTATAAACTTTCAGACACACATCAGAAGATAAAACAGGGAGAAAGTCTGTGTGGGAAAACGTGGTTTAGAATACGGTTTCTGGCAGAGGTAATCATTGGACTAAAAGTGCCGTTGTATGAAAGCAGACAAGACTTCCATAGCTACAGTCCTCCCTACTCCCATTTCTTTCAAAATAGGGTATGTATATATAGGGACTTTCTAGTCCGCTGCCTGGAAGAGAATTAAGAAGTGTGTAATTGCTGAGAGTGAGAAAGCTCACTCTTTGTGGTTTAGGAAACACTTTCTTTTTGAACGTTGGTTTTAATCTAAGGCTGTTGCAATGATAAAAATGACCGAAAGCCTCAGTTTGATAAATCAGAGTGTATTTTTGGCTAATTTGGACCTCACATTATATCTCTAGTATGGGATTAATAGATGAGTTACCTTTAAGCTTTAGAATTTCTATCTTTGCCCTGCCTTCAAACAGCTATATTCCCACCTGGTCCTAGCTAGCAAAATACCAAAGTCCTGCACAGCCGACTGAAATTCTGTAGGCCTTCACCTTACAGAGTTGAGTTCTCTCAGATACCGTTACCTGTATCAGCAAATGGAAAAGCATCAAATAAATTAAAATGCACAGTTGTTGTTCTTGCAGCTAGACTGCACACCACCTGTAGCTATATCAGATATGCATCGCAAGTGCATGCATAGATCTAGTAATTATATACACACGGAGTCTTACAAAACTGAGACGCTGCCCCATGCAGATCACAAACCTGAAAGACTGAATCTAGCTGTAAAGGGCAGACAGCACAGGCAGAAAGGCAGAAGTACGCGATCAGGGCAAAACACGGTCGATCAGGGCAAAGTGCGGTCTATCGCTGCATCTCCACAACACCCAACGCTGGCATCATAGACTCAAATATGCCCAGCCACCTGACTACTGGGCATATGACCACCTGAAGCCTGGTCTCGCACCGTAAGAGGCAAATCTATTAGTGCACATTTACGGAATTGCAGTCTATAAATCTTGTGTTTGTTCCCATAGAAAAGACAGCTAAAGCAAAGAGATGCCTTGTTCAAACTCAGCTTAATGACTGAGCATATACTGCCTTTTTTCTAAATTAACAGCAAACCCTTATACTAATTGGGGATCAGAAAATAGGCCTTTAAACGATGGAAAATAACGAGCATAGGGTTTTAAAACAGACAAATCAAGAGAACATAGCAAAGAATCTTTTTTTTTTTTTTTTTAAATTGGAACACCACAGCCTTAAATGCACACTGTGCTGCAGTAAAGAGCCACTCAAGTAATTTTTTCACCCACTAAGAAGAGTAACAGAATTCATTCCAGATTAGACAAATTCAGTTCAAATGCTTTGTCCACAGCAATTGGGGGTTGGTTGGTTTGTTTCATTAAAACAATTCTCTGCCAACTTTTGCTAGTAGGCAGGATCTAATTCAGATGTAGGATCAATTCCAAACTGCTACCGTAAGCAAGTGGGCAGCAGGTTTGGTTTGGCTCGTTTGTTTTTAAACAAGACACTCAGAGGAGCATTTTTACTTATCACCATGACAGAAAAGAGGTCTTCTGGTGGCTACTAGCAATATGTAAACATGCTCAGAAACATTTCCATTTGATCCACTTGGAATATTTACCTGATTTTGGTCAGCTGTGCTAACCCACAGCTGTTAGAGGTTGTCCTCAGAAAAAGCCCTTTTCTGATTTTCTTCCAGTGACAGACCTCACTGTATCAAATCTTCCTGTTCTCTTCTACTTCTACTGCAGCAGGGTGTTGGAGAGAAACAACCAGTACTGGATTCAGTGTGTAATACACACACCATTTTTGTGCAATTAAAAGAAAATCTCTGATTTGTTCTTATCAGCACCTCAATGGCCTATCCTAGATAAGAGGAAAAATTACTCTTATATCGATTTCCTAAAATAGGGAGAATCAGGGAAAGGTCTGGTCTTTGGAAGACTATAATGCTTCCATTCAAGCATCATCGTATCTGAAAGAAGATTAAATTGGTACTTAAAGCAATCCCACGATTTGCTCCCTAAATCTTTGTACTTCATTTCATCTGATCAGTTGTTTGTCACCATGATTTGCTATGCCATATCTAAAACTACTTCAAACTTGAAAACTCCTGAGGGCCATGACTAAGTGTTTGCTCGTTATTACCCAGGCATAATTCCAGACACTAAAAATACTAGAGTAAATGCAGGTGATACACAGAGCAGAAGAGTAAAAGGCAGAGAAATATCCTGATATTCTGCCCATAAGGAGAACAGCACATTTCAGTACAAACCTCTCTGCAGATTTGCCTCACTGGAGAACACACATAAGTTCTAGTTTAGCATCCTATTTTCTAGGTAGAACTATACCCGCTGGTCCATGCTGTCCCTTGCTTTTTCCTAAGCATCTGCTCCTGATTGCTGCCAGAAACAAGACCTGGAGCTAGACAGAGCTTTGGTTTGTCCCAATATGAACAGTCTGTTTTTTCCTAAAGGATTACATACTGATTGATTTTGCACTGTTTTAGCAAGGACAGTGAAAGCATTTTTCTAAGACAGTTCGATTAACCTTACTTTAGTTCTCAAGTTTAGTCAGATCTCCTCGCCAATCTAAAAAAAAAAAATCTTCATTTTTGCCATATTTCTCAATGTGTGCCAGTTCTACCCCCTCTCCATTTCTTTGTTATGTGTTTCTAGGCCTTCCCAGTCTCTGTTAAGTAACTGTACGCCGTTCTGCTGCTGCGACACTGGTACTCCAGGCAAACGCATTCATTACAACAGTATAACAATATCTACGTTACTTTAAATCCTTTTTAGATATACTCACAAGCCCTGCTTGTTTCTGCACTGTTGCCCTGCCCTGCAGTCCTCAAGATCTGGAAACTATTGGCAACTTCTCAGAAACACACTTCAGAACTTTAAGTTTAATTGCATCATTGCTTTTTACTGGGATTAATTCCAGTACTACAAGTGGACCATGAGGTCCAGCTCCTTCACCTACCGCCTGTCCTGGCACAGTGTGCTAAAGCTTCTGTTCTCTCTAAGGGCCCAAGGATAATGGTAGACAAGTATTTTCTCCAATTTACAAAAGGAAAAAGATAACCATCAGCACTGAAACTCTTAATAGGAAGACTGATTTGCTTAAGCTTCTTTTTAAAGATCAGTAGCTTTTAGTTCTTTGCAGTTTTTGAATGATTTTAACAGTTCGTGACATGCCATCTGCTTCCACAGCCTAGTTAGTCAACAAGACCCATGCATGTAGGGACATGGAACAGTCATCCAAACGCTGAAAGGAAACCTCATTTTGTTAGGAATGAAAAATACAACCTTGGCAGAAAATTGAACACTTAAAGGCAAAAGTGTCAACACTGAAAAAAGTGCAGTCCTTAATGACACTCCTACTTATAAGAGTAGTAACTGTTTCTGCTATTAAGATATAGGATTCTATCCAAAGGCATATATATGTCAAAGCAAACATGGTACAATACCCAGCCTCCCAGACTTAGAGAGTGAAGCAATCATGGTTGCCTAAAACCACAGGGCAGGAAAAGACTGCCATATGGCACGCTGGAGTTAGAGCCACTTTCCATAGTTAACCTGGCATTTATCTAGCAGCTTGAAGGGTCAAGATTTGAAAAAACCCAGCCAGTCAGGAACACTCTGTGGTTCACGTACAGCAACCCCGCCTGGATCCCTGCCTGGGAATGCGGGAGCGATCGGCTCCTTCGGCATTGCACCACCGAAGCAGCGCACACGCGATCTGACAGAGTGCCGGCTGGCACCCAGGAAGCTGGTGGATCAGCGCTGCTTCTAAGCGCTGGCTGGAGGGAGGGAGCTGGGCAGCCGGGGTACGGGGCTGGGACTGAAGCACAGGGAAGTGATCCGATTCTTTAATTCTTTATGAAATAATGATAAATGTGGGCTATAAAGATGGACAGAACAATCCTGTGCAAATCTAACATCTATGTCACCTGGACCACTTACTTCACTTTACTACTTCTTAACTCTCTTTCACCAGCAGGCTTTTGGTGGCTAGATTTTTTTGGCTATGAGTCAGTTCTGAAGGGTCGGCCTTTCAGCAAAGAGCAAGGCTCACAGCAGAACAACCCAGCAGGCAGGGCTGTCCAGCCACCCGTGTGGAAATAAGTGACGAGTTCCTCCTGCAGGTACATACTGTCTGACAGGAAGTATTTGGGAAACCAAGGCCCCACCACACAAGCTCCTGATGATGGCAATTTCAAGGAATAAACAAGGGCTGCCACAAGAAAGAAACGGTTGTGCTGAGAGGTAAAAGCCATTCACAGAGGGATTTAAGGAGACTGCTGGAGATGAGAGTCCATTCCTCCCACCTCTGAGGTGCACACAATCCAGCGCACGAGAAGGTCTTGGTTCATTTTTCACTAAACAAACGTGCTCTCGTTTATGCAAAGTCAAACCCAGCAGTTTTCATTTCAAATTGCACTTGTGAAGCCCAGACTACTTTCCATTAAGTTAATCAAAGGCAGACTTTTTTTTTTTCCCCAAGATGAGACAACCCGCAAGGCCTGTGGCTACTCTAATCCCACAGGATATTTTTATATCCATTGCTGCATTCTTAATGGCATAAAAGAAACCACCTCAGGCTTCCTTTTGAAAAATAAAACTTCCTCTCAAAAGAAGAAGAGTGCCTGGTTCATCCCGCTTTTCATTTTTGTGAAGCAGTGGGCACCATCTTTCCACAAAACTTGCTGGCTGCCTGAATAAATGCTCAGAAAGAAAGGCAGGAAAGTGTAACAGGAAGGAGAACTTGCTGAGAAAGGAAACATCTAGAAATCACCAGTGACACAGTAACTGGATACACTTAGCTCAGAGCAGAGCATCATTTTCTTGCTCCAGTCTGGAAACCTTTATATCCAAGAGTCCTGTTATCATGATTCCTGACAAGCACAAAAAGAAAGGTCTGACTGACCTGAGAGAGAACTTACTTCCACTGCAGGTGACATTGTTCTATTATGTACCTCAGGTACCATTATAAATAGAATAGAAATCTTATTTTAAAAAAAAAACAACAAACAAGTTGAAACAAATCTTTTCGTCCACCATTCCGGTTTGGTCAGTACTGGCAAGGTGAAGTGGAACATGTGGCATGAGGAAATGGCAGCACTGAAACTGAGACCTGATGGTTCAGGTAAGAAAAGTGCAAGCAAAAAAAGTGAGACCACCAAGAGGGAGGTTGGGTCCAGCCTTGCTAACTCCCTCCACTTCTGGTCTGCTGCTATATTTCTCCATCTTCATCCGAGCTCACACTGCTGCTTCCACTGCTGCTGCTCCCACTCTCACTGCTCTCTTCCTGCCGGGCCTGGCTGTGGGCTGCTGCCGAAGCCACTGCTGCTGCCGCCTCTCTCTCTTGCTGCTTCAGTGCAGCCGCCTTCTTTTCCTGCTCCGCGTGGCTTTTCATGTGAGCACTGCGGCTCTTCACCTTGTAGAACACCCTGAGGAAGCACATATATACGTTAGCATTGGTCTCTCCTACATCCTCCTTCATTAATTCTCCAAAAGAGCTTCTGCTGCTCCAGCCTGAAGTTTGTGAGCTTTGGCATAGGAACTCACATTGGTATTGCAGTAGAGCATCTATAGCAAACACCACTTCTGACTCAGCGTGTGCCAGCACTAGGTGAAGTGCTAGCAGGAGGTCCTGAGCACCCTCAAACCATTCGCTTCATTTCTTAATACAGCCTTTTCCTCTTATCTCTCATTCATTCTGAATTTTTTAAATTCAGAGAGGCAGCACTGGTATGTGAAATACGCACGTGCTGCTTAACACAACCTGTTTTTTGGGCATTCCCCCTATGCTGCAAAAATACAATAAACATGGAGGTGGACAATGGCCAAATGCCACTCCTAAGCCCTGTCCACACAGCTAGAAACACTTGAGCTACTTCCTCCTAACTTTGTACTTCTATGATCTATTCCTCCATCTTTCACCATTAACTATTTGGGTTTGGCACCAAATGTCACAAGACAAGTTTAGACACCATTAAGAATCCTTGCCTGCCTCTCTTCTGTCAGTGGCCAGGACCAAATCTCAACTGCCTGACTTCTCACAGCACTGCCCTTTCCCATGCCACGACGGCACAGAGGCAGGGCACCTTGGCAGGACCAGCTAAGTCCTACACCAGCTAGTGATGTAACTAGACGGAGATTGCATTTTCTTGCCATCCCCTAGCTTGGTGCCTTTTTTAAACGAAGGGATAACTACTGGTATTGCAAGTCTCTCTGTGGTTTTAGGAGTAAGCAATTTATGTAGGGAACTGAATTTTCTTGACATTTATGAACCTGTTGGCAACAAACCTATAAAAACTATTACAACCATGTGAGGAAAGACAAATATATTTTACAGACACAAAAGATGGGTGCAAGTTTAATCAGATGAACTGTGTACCCACTGGCCTAATATCTGCTGCTACAACAATGGTAGTGTCTAAGTAGTTCTATACCACTGTTCATAGGTAAGTCTATACCATGTTCTTAATATGTGATCTAGCAAATATATAGAAATTACTTGTTACAAAAACGTAGGCATTACAGAGGGGCAATACAGCAGCTGTTTGAAAGTGCAGCTTAACACCAAATACTCCACACAGGTGAAACACAGGTGGTGTCTCATTCCATTTGAAGAAAAACAGCAGCAGGTAATTATCCAAGTAGTAGTATCTTAATATCAATATATGTAAAAACCCCTAATCTGCGAATATTAGTGGGGTAATAAGTCAGTAAAATTATTTAGTCCAGTGTCTCTGGCCTAAATAGACAGAAGGAAAGCTCATTTGAGAATAAGCTTCCACAGGAGATGCTCTACTGCAATTCTGTGACTATTGCTGGAAGCGGAGTTGCTCTTACCTGCCACATTTTTTACATGGAAATGTGTTTTCTGTGTTCTGAGTTTTACTGGTAGCATCTAATTTTATCTTTTGTTTCCGCCGCCTCCTCTGCACTGGAGCAGTAATAGGCTTTCGAGGCTTCACTGTTGTCTCCCTCGGCTTCCTTCCAATTCGGCCTGTGACAGTTGCTTCTTGACTCCTCATATTGGCATCATTGGCCTTTGGAGAGAGGGGAACAGTTAAGGCAAACTGAAACTTAAACCCACCATCAGAAGAAAAACAATGGCTGAGCTCCTGTGCTTCATTTATTCCAGGTCAAGGTTTTATTGAACAAGGAAATCTTCAGGACATTTTCAGGACGTTTCTCATCACGGTCCTATGTGTGCACCAACCACAAAGAATTATACAGGGTTTTTTCCCCCTTACTCATCCCAGTTCTCCCACCACAGCACACAGTCTGGTTGCTAGTAATACTCTAAGCTACCTCAGCCCCGTCTCTTGCTCTGGGAGAAGTCAGAGGTGCAAACTTTTTAGAGCTGGAACTGTCCACCTACTATTTTCTAAACTAGTTGCAGAGTGAAGGTGGCACAGAAAGCACAACATGCACAATGCAGCAGCACTTACTATTGCACCATCTTGTAGTGTCTGTTCATCTTTGAGAGGAACTGCGCTCTTCTTTCTGTTATCCAATCCTTCCTCTGCCTCCTCTTCTTCCTCCTCTTCCTCCTCCTCATGCCCCTGTTCTTCACTGTAAATGTCCCTTCTGAGAGGAAGAACACGTGCAAACCTATGGGAACTCTTCACCAGAAGATAAAGGAACTGTTAATGTTGGTGTCTGTAAGTAAATGTCATTATGTGACACAGGACACAAGTTTGTGAGTCTGGACTCCTCCACACTGGCCAGATTGTTTCTACTTTTGATTTTACCAGCAAATGAGACAACAGACAAAATCAGACTTCACACCACAGCCCAAAAGAGGTGAGAGAAATTTAGGAAGTTACCTTGATGTCAACTTCAGCTTCATCTTTCATAGACTTCTCATTAGCAACATCAATGTCCCCAAAGATTAAGGTCCCATTCCGACCAATTTTCACCTGTTTCTTGTATGTGTAGTAGAATTCCACACACTGAGCCACTGTTTTGGTTTTTATCTGGTGTTTAAAAAACATAAAAGTCCAATGGATTACATGACTTTAAGAAGGCTTATAAATAATTACTAAAGGCGCAGTAAATACACTTTGTATTTTTCTTTCCCCAGTAGTCTGCATTCCACCACAACTGCTGCTGGTAAAGCCGCCTTTTCTGTGTCGTATTTTGCCTGTGTGCCCCGTCCCACAGCTCATCCCCTATTGCCACTGTTATTCACTGAGAACTACAGGACCAACTTTCCAAAAAAAGCTGGTCAATGTAAAGGTGACAGAACCTGGCACTTTGTAAGCTCAATGCACCTCTTAGCCTCCGAAACATTCCATCCAACTGAGCTGTCAGGCTTGAGAGCAGCCTTTCAGTTTTATGGGGGAGCTTTATTTTCCAGCAGCACTTCAGAGAAGACCAGACCAGAATACCGATCCAAAAATGGAAAAGAAGGTTTGCAGCCCTTTGCCATTTTGGCCACATGCATTTCATACACATATGGTGGTAGACAATTATCAGCACAGACCTGTGACTGCCTACATATTCTCTGTCAGTGATTTTTCTGGAAGTTTTGGAATATACCCTTAGCTTCTGGGCTTTTGCAATTTAAATGCCTTTTGGGAATGTATTCAGGAAATATGTACGCAGCTCCTGGTTTTGCACTCTCCTTCAGTGATTTCCCTCCCACTGAAGCGTCATACCTCATGAAAACAGATGGGAATGATCATGTTTACTATCATTGCCACAGAAAACTGTAAAGAGAGATCCTGAAGAATGCATCATTCACATATCCTTCTTTGGTCCTTTTCATCAGCAGCAGCAAGGATGTGTTTCTATTTAGTTTTATAAGCAAGCCATTTAAGCCGTATTGGAACATTACCAGCACTCTATAAATACGCCCTGTAGAAATGATATCTACAGTGTGGACTAATGGAAGTAATGCAGTAAGTACAACGGTTAAGTAAACAACAACAGCAAAACAAACACTATTGTTCTAGCTATCTAGTGAGATTTTATGCTGTGCTGGATGACACAATTTCTCTGAAATCTTTTGAGTGCAGGACTTAATGCTTAATACTGAAGTTTCAGAGAAATCAAGATTGAACTCCCTGTATTAAATGCTCAAATGTGTAAGAAAGTATCATTGCTGTCATTTAAAAAAAAAGAAGAAGTAACTTACAAGTTTTTGGACCAAGAAAAAGTCTTTCTTGTAGATGGCAATGCCTTTGTTGAAAAGTTTCTTTTCAGCAACTTTCCACTTGTCTGATCCTGTAGATAAAAAAAGTTGTAACTGAAGCCCTTGGAATTTCAAACGTTTACTCTTCTATGTACTTTTTCTTCATGTTCACCTTAAGTAAGACCAATACACACATACAAGGGTGCAGTCACACCTAATCCAGCATAACTGCAGACTGCTGTTAAACCCTCTCCTACGACTGCACTTCAGCCCTCCTCTCTCATCACTTCCTTTGGGCTAGGTCTAGTACTCACCACCACAGGTTAACTCAGTTCAGCATGCAAAAACCAGTCAGTTAGAAGAACTGAGATGTTTTCCAACAAAACAGCAAGGCGAATAGACACACTTTGTGGTGGCCAGTCATCAGATTTTATACAAGGGAAATGGTGGGGCAGGAGAACAGGATCTTCTCTTTCATCAGCAATCCACTGTACTTGAAGATTTATTACTTCTCAAATATTCCTACTATCCTAGCACCCTTACCTCTAATAATAAACACATTTTAGAATGTCCTCCTGCCTTATAGATATTACCCAAATAATATTTCCCAGGCGTTATAGTAGGAGTGCGTAATAATGAAGAAATGTAATTTCTATGCTTTGTGGCGCCAGCTATTAGAAGTCTCTCTACCACCTTCTATCAGGTCTTTCAGGTGGCTAGGGTCACTCTAGATCACTGAAGTTAGTGTCATATGGCTGACTATTTTCTAATTAGGTACAAGACTGCAAAGGCAGTTTACAGCATTTAAATTTTGCAGAAACACTGACAGACATCGACAGTCGGCTGAGCTTTCTTCTTCCCATAAAACCCCTTCTTAACTCCACCCTGGAAATTCATGTCAGAGAGGCTGTGATCCTGAGGTTACCACAGCCTTTCTTGTACGTACTAGTGTAAGGGACGAGGCCCAAGTGACTCTACCGTGAGCCCGGACAATGCCCCAGAGAAGGCTCCAGAAGTAGCAAAAGGCAGTCACGGGGAGGGGCCTGGTGTCACTTCCCTTGACTGACTGGTGTCTCAGCCACTCCTGGAACTGGGGCGAGAGAAGTTTCCAGACGTCCAGGGACTGGGTCCAATAAATAGGGGCACGTGCGAGCCTCTGGGGCACTCTCTGCACCGAAGACCCCCATTGGCAGGTCCAACGCTGGATCCAGGACTGGTGATCTCCCTCTCTCTCTCTCTCCTGCCTGCCCCCCACCACCCCGCTCGCTCTCTCTCCTTTTCTAGTGTGCGCTCGCTCTCTTTCTTTTTTCCTAAAGCTGCTAAGTAACACAAGGCCCACCTCAGCTTCTCATAAAGCCTAAGCACATAACATAGGTGGATAGGTCAACATTTACAGAATGTTTGTTCCATTAAAGTTGATGTTTATGTACGGACCTTGAGTGTTTTCTCACCTTAATCCACACTGAGGGGATTTGTGAATGTTAGTCACTCTCCCCTTCTTGGGGGTGGGACGTGACATATAAATTCGTGTCACAGACAGGATCCCCTCAGTGTTGGAAGGTCCTAAGGGATACTGACTCTTTACCCGGTGAGTGCGGGTGGGGAGAGCCGGGAAGTGACCTCTCAGCGATAAGCCAGGAGAGGTTCGAGCAGTGGCAAGCCATGGCTGCCCGGGAAATGCCGGTGCTTGACTGCTCCCCTGTTATTGAAAAGTTGAAGGAATATAAGGCGTGCCCTTCCCCACCAGGGATGGCATGGGCCCATATTAGTTGGCACGACCCGAAAGCTGTAGCGGATAGAATTACAACCCTTATGAAGGAACGAAAGGCGCCACCAGGAAAAGGGAAAGCCATGGTGTGTGCTGTGTTGGGAGCAGCACTAGTGGCAGGCCAGAAGGGGCACCTAATTAAGCAAACTAGTGATGAAATCATTGAATCCTTGCAAGAACAAGTGGAAGCCCTGTGGAGCCAACTGACCACTGAGCATAGTGCCACTCAGCGACTCCGTGCGGCTCTGTCAGATGCGTTGGACCAAGAAAAAATTTTATGGTCCGAATTAGAGTAAGGGGGACAAGAATCTCCTGATTGGACAGATCTTAATTCTGTTCCCGACAGTGTGCAGGGATTTACAAGCTTGGCACAGTTGTCCAAGAAACAGGGCCTAAGACCCTTGTACCTAACTAAGGAGTTGGAAACTGACCGAGAAATATTTTACCCCGAGAATGAAGAAGTGGTGATGAGGCCAGTGATTAAGACAGAGACCACCGATAATGGCCAAGGTGAGGAAACACCCAAAATACTCCAAATAGAACAACTGCCCGGCAATCAACCAGACCAGGGACCTCCTCCCTCTTATATATAACCTGCCCCTCCATTTGAACCCCACCTAAAAAACATATGGTTCATTGACACATCCTCTAGAAGAGAGGGAAAGGTATGGAAATACCGAGCATGTTGATTCAGGGGACCGAATCGTGACGGAAGGGGAAGGAAGTGCTCAGTTGGGAGAACTGGCAGCCGTGTGAAGCATGGTTCTTAGAGAGGCTGAAACTAAAGAACCAGTGTTTATTTACATGGATTCATATGCTGTGTTCAAGGGATGTACCGAATGGCTCCCATTTTGGGAACAAAACCAATGGGAGGTCAATCAGGTACTGGTGTGGCAACGAGGAAAGTGGGAAAAAATCCTAAATATTGCTAAACAGAAGTCCCTTCTAGTAGGATGGGCTGCTGCACACCAGGTAGGGGATCACCCAGCTCACCTTTTGAATAATCAGGTGGATTCATTGACCTGTTTAGCAGGAATAGAAATGGCCGTGGAAGTTGAGGGGGAAAAATGGGAACATTTGTTGGAATGGTTGCACGTAAAACAAGGCCATTTGGAAAGTAAAGATCTGTTCAGGGAGGCAGTTAGCAGAAGGTGGTCTGTAACCAGAGAGTTGTGTAATACCGTTATTTCCACGTGCGGCCTATGCCGCACTCAATTAGGAGAACACAACCCTCTTAAGGACCAACTTCTGCACTTGAGAGATAATAAAGGGTTTTGGGACACTTGGCAGGTGGACTACATTGGTCCATTTCAGATCTCTGAAGGAAAATGGTATGTACTAGTAGGAGTTGAAGTGGTGTTGGGGTTAACCCAAGCGGAAGCAGTACGACAAGCGACAGGAGATAATACTGTGAGAGGTTTGAAGTTGTGGTTCAGTTGTTTACCCAAACCCCAATTGATCCAATCAGATAATGGAAGCCACGTTAGTGCTGGGGTGGTTCAAGAGTGGGCATGGGGCGAAGGGATCCAGTGGATCTTTCACACCCCATACTACCCCCAGGCGAATGGCATTGTCGAATGCACCAATGGGCTCTTGCAGCAGGCCCTGAAAACTCATGAACCTGGGTGGGCAGAGCAGGTGTCAGATGCGGTATATAAAGTCAATAGCCACTGGGGAATTAATAGCTGCCCACGACCTACCGCATTCTGTCCCAAGCTTCTGTCCATACTCCCTGGGAAAAAGGAGGCTAAGGACCCTGCAAACCCACTCCATTATCCAGGACAACCTGTTCTGGTGGACTTGCTGACAGTGGGAGCAGTGCCTTTAACCTTAAAAAAAATGCTCAATCTTTATTCTTGGGTGGCCACTGACACACATGGGAAGGATCACCGAATCAATACCCGATGGATTGTCCATCCTATTAATCATTGTTCGTCTTTACA